GTGGCTCAGTTGGTCGGTGCATCATCCCAAAACCAAAAGGTTAGGGATTTGGTCTCTTGTCAGAGTGTGTATGAGACGCAACCAATCGGTATGTTTCTCTCTCACATCAATGTTTCTCCACCTGTCTCTCTAAAATCAGTAAGTATGTCCTTGGGTGAGGAGAAAAAAAGAAGGGATATACATGAAATTACTGGAGTATTATAATCCATTTAAACAATTCAAGGTCTCGAATTTGTTGCATTAGTTGTTTCAGATGCACTCTCTGGTTTAGCATACTTTGCATTCTGTGACACACATGACCACACTAATGCCAGAACTATAACAAAAACAATACAAACATATAGAAGTAGTCAATTCACTAAAAAATCTAGAAGTAGTCCATTTCACTGACATTGAAAGCCAATTCATGTAGAGATCAATTTGCAAAATGCCAATTTGATTATTTACCCAATTTAATCTAAAAAAAAACTCATACTGAAATTTATTTTATAAGAAATCATAAATCAGAGTAGTTTATGTAAATGGGATAGTTTCATAGTAACTTTTGAAAGTTCAAGCTAAGATTCTAGTTTGGTTCTTATTTTGTCTTCATGGTAATATTTTATTTACTTTTAAAGATTTTATTTATTTGATTTTAAAGAGAGGAAGAGATGGAAAAAGTGAGTGAGAGAAAGATTGTTGTGTGAGAAATATCAATCAATTGCCTCTTGTAGTGGGCCACAACCCAGGCCTGTGCCAACTTGGAACCCAACGAGAGACCTTTTGGTTTGCAGAATGATGCTTAACTCACTGGGTCACACTGGTCAGGGCTTCATGGTAATATTTTAAATAGTGCTTGGCTCTGACTGGTGTGGCTCAGCTGGTTAAGCAACATCCAGCAAAGCAAAAAGTCACTGGTTAGATTCCTGGCCAGGGATGATGTCTTGGTTGTGGGTCCAGCCCAGGTTAGGGCATATACAAGAGGCAACTTACCAATGTTTCTTACAAATCAATGTTTCTCTCCCTCTCTCTCTACCTTCTTCTCTCTAAATAAATGAAATCTTTAAAGAGAATAAAGAATGCTCAACTTATCAAAACTAAGAATTATAGGATGATTTAGTCTTTTTAAAAATGTTTTATTGACTATGTCATTACAGTTGTCCCATTTCCTCCCCTCATTCCCTTCCACCCTGCACACCCACTCCCCCATTCCCCCCTTTAGTTCATGTCCATGTGTCACGAGTTCTTTAGATTCTATATTTCCCATACTATTCTTGTCCTCCCCCCTATTTTCTATCTACCAACTATTCTACTTATTCTCTGTACCTTCTACTTCCCTTCTCCTCCCACTCGCCTATTGCTAACCCTCCATGTGATCTCCATTTCTGTGGTTCTGCTCCTGGTCTAGCTGTCCTGGTAGTTTGCTTTTATTTTAGGTGTGGTTAATAATTGTGAGTTTGCTGTCCCATCACTGTTCATATTTTTAATCTTTTTCTTAGATAAGTCCTTTTAACATTTCATAAAATAAGGGCTTGGTGATGATGAAGTCCTTGAACTTGACCTTATCTGAGAAGCACTTTATCTGCCCTTCCATTCTAAATGAAAGCTTTGCTGGATAGATCAATCTTGGATGTAGGTCTTTGGATTTCATGACTTGGAATACTTCTTTCCAGCTCCTTCTTGCCTGTAAAGTCTCTATTGAGAAATCCGCTGACAGTCTGATGGGGACTCCTTTGTAGGTGACTGTCCCCTTAGCTCTTGCTGCTTCTAGGATTCTCTCCATTTTAATCTTGGCTAATGTAATTATGATGTGCCTTGGTATGTTTCTTCTTAGGTCCAACTTCTTTGGGACTCTCTGAGCTCCCTGGACTTCCTGGAAGTCTATTTCCTTTGCCAGATTGGGGAAATTCTCCTTTATTATTTGTTCAAATAAGTTTTCCACTTGTTGCTGTTCCTCTTTTCTGGTACCCCTATAATTCAGATGTTGGAAGATGTCCTAGAGGTTCCTAAGCCTCTCCTCATTATTGTTGAATTCTTGTTTCTTCATTGTTTTCTGTTTGGTTTTTTCTTCCTTCTGGTCCACTTGATTGATTTTAGTCCCAGTTTCCTTTCCATCACTATTGTTTCCCTGTGCATTTTGCTTCATTTCACTTAGTGAAGCCTTCATTTGTTCATCTAATTTGTGACTAAAAAATCAAGTAGTTCTGTGAGCATCCTGATCACCCATGTTTTGAACTGTGCGTGTGATAGGTTGGCTCTTTGTCACTTACACTGGCTCTGGGGCTTTTAGCTGTTTTTCTGCTTGAGCCATAATGTTTTGTTCTGTTTGCACCTGTTATGTATGAGGGGCGGAGTCTTAGTTGTTCACCAGGGTGGGGCAACCCAGGTTGCTGGGTTGTGATGCTGTATGTGGGGGTAGGGTTAGAGAGGAGCAATGGTGCCTGTCCCATGCTCTCTCTCAGATTTCAGTCCCCTCCACTGCTTTTCACAAGCAAATTGGGACCTTCTGGTGCTGGTTCCCGGGTGAGTGGGCTTGTGCACCCTCCAGGACCCTGTGGGTCTCTCCAACGAACTCTCTGTGAGTCTGGGAGCCTCTTTGGACACCTCGACCCCCGAAAGTTTTTCCAATTGGTGCTTTTAAGCTTTATTTCCCTGCACTTGGGCCCTGGTTTGTGCGGTCTGTTTCACTGCTTGCTCCTTTGCTAGGTTTATCTGCATGCGAATGTGTGACCATGGTCAGCCAGCTGCCTTGGGCCCTCACTGTTGCCACCCCACGCCTGGGATCTGCCAGGCGCCGCCTGCGCACCTGGGTTGGTCCGGCTGCTTTTTCCTGTACAACCCTGCTCTGCCAGCCGCTAACTCTGCCCCTCTTACGGGTCTGAATGAATGGTCTGTTGTTGTCTGTTGGACTTCGGTACAGTTTAATTTTCTCTGTTTTGGTTGCATTCTGGTTTTTAAATATTTGTTGTTCATATACTTGGTTGTGTGAGGAGGTACAGTGTTTCCACCTATGCCTCCATCTTAGCCAGAAGTTGATTTAGTCTTAGGACTATATTAATATGTTGAAAAGTGTATCTTACAAGTAACTAAAATTTCAGTATGAGATTAAAATCCTCATTTTTAAAATGCATTTTAAAGTCAATTGCATACGTCATACATGTTCCCCTGAGTACTTCATCACTCATTTCATTAGCTAGAGTTCAGTATTTGTTTAAAAGTTTTTCTTTTAGGTAAATTTATATACAATAAAATGCACAAATCTTAATATTACATTTACTAAGTTTTATAATTCAAATTACTATAAAAACTTGGAAAATTCTATCACCCTAGAAAGCTCTGCATGCCCCTTTCTGCTCAATTCCTATATTCCCACTCCAACAACCACTACTCTGATGTTGTTTTTTACCACAGATTCATTCTGCTTATTGTAGAGCTTCCTACAAGTGTAATCACAGAATATGGACTTGTATAGGAAATTTTTTATAAGACCTTTTCCACTTGAGCATAATGACTTCAAGATTTATTCACGTTATCACATTTATTTGTAATCTGTTCCTTTTATTGCCTAGTAGTATTTCATTGCTTAGTTCGGTCTTTTTTTCTCTTTGCTGGGCACCTGAGCTGTTCACAAATTTAGGTATTATAAATAAAGCATCTATAAATATTCTTATATAAGTCTTTTCTTTAGGCTATTATGAATAAAGCATGTTCAAGTCTTCCTGTGGACATACTTTCATTTCATCTTTTATATAAATGCCCAGGGAGGGAGTTGCACAGTCACAGGGTGAGTATATATTTAGTTGTATAAAAATGCTCTTTTGGAAAAAGCACAGCTTGTAAATTTTCAGCTATTCTTCTTTTCTAACATAACTCATTATGACTATAAACTTTGCATCTAAGTACTACTTATATTGCATCTCACACATCTTAATATATTATATTTTTGTATCACTTTGGTTTAGGTATTTTCTAACATCCATTATCATGTCTTCTTTGATACAAAGTTTAAATTTTTCTAGCTTCTTGTACAGACTTTTAAATTATCTGAATTTTAACTTAAATTCCTTGTAGTCAGAGAAAATGGCTTAAGTGATAGCGACACTTTTAATTTTGTTGAGATGTGACTTTTGAGCTTGTCAGTTTTCAACTTCACTGATTGTGATATTGGTCTGCGTGTCCAATAAATCATTTTCATTTTATTTTTCACATTTATGGAACTTTTTATTAATAACTATCTTGGGAACAGAAGGTAATTTTCCTGAATACAACATCTTTCAGGGGCCAATGAGCTTAGTGATTCACATTTATTCTTTGAACTGAAACACCAGTTTTTTAAAAAATGAAAACAAAAATTAAAAAAAAAAAAAAAGGATTTTAGAAACACAGAGGAAAGGAGAGCAAGAAACATCAATTTGTTCCATTTATTGCTTGATTCTTGTACGTGTCATGACCAAGGATCAAACCCTCAACCCTGACATATGCAGATGCTCTAGCCAACTGAGATAGCCTGCCAGGACAGTTTTTTATTCTTTTTTTTTCTTCAACTAAGAGAATGTAACAAAATAATGATATGCCAAATGTATACTGACTGCTCAGTTTATAAATTTAGATTGAACCATATTAAAACATTAAAAATATTTTAAAAACATTTTTCTCCCATATTTAAATCTTTACATCAAATATTCAAAATCTGCTTATAATTAAAAAATGTATATACTTAGGTTCTCTATGAGTTAGTAGGGTTCTCAGCTTCTGATCACATGCTATTGCTCTCTAAAAATTAAATTTTTTGATATGTGACTTACGTGAAAAAATGAACTAAGACTATTACATGAGATGAGTTAAAAATGCTACACATATGGATTTTATATAAATACATACACAACAGTTCAATGTTTTTTGGAACAGATGTATAGAAAAAGATAAAGAGAAGACATATAAAAGAGAAGCAAGAAAAGGAAAAAATGAGCATTAAAAGATAGAAAAACATAAAAGGTTATATATTTTATTCTGTGACTTACATTGTATGAGGATGTCTGTTCAGCCAATCTCTTTTCCCTTCCTGACAATACATGTTCTTCATCCTTCTTACTAAGTGACTTCCTTGCTTCTTTTGTCTCCTAAGGAACAAGCCCAGATAACACATTACTGAACCATTTAATTAAGGGACAATAGAAAGGAAAACTATAATTTTTACTCAGATTGAGTAATTAGAGACTAAAGTAATAAGTCAGGCTTGTTGAACCTCTTCCCACCACAAATGTTAATATACCTGATTAGAGGTCTGTTGGTAATCTAAGATTTTCCTGGAAACAAGAAAAAATAACCTACACAACTCTAGCCAATGAAATGGAAGAATCACCAATTTTTTTTTATCTCAGACATCTGTTTGACAAACTATGATAAAATGTTAAAGGTAAAATAAGGCCTAAAAAGATATCTTGCATTTATGTTCTCAAAACTGGGTCACTTTTTGAGGAAACAAATTAAGAAAAAGAAATAAAATGTGTACAGAAAGAAAAAGAAAAATAAAAGTATATGCACAGATGATAAACCCCATCGATGTAGAAAACCCCAACGAATCAACAAAAACACTCCTGGAATAGTAAGCAGGTACAACAAAGCTGTAGGACACAAGGCCAATATACAAAATATACCAGCAATGAACAAGGGATTTAAAGTTAAGATAAAAAACAACATGTGCCATAGCACACACACACAAATTTACCTGAAGTACATACTTAGGTAAATTTCCAACAAATTCTAGTTAGAAAAAAAATTCTGGAGAATACAGTCTGAACCAGAAATGAAGAAAATAAACATAAAAAACAACTGAAAACCATTGTTCTCAAAATATATTTTTATACTGCTGCTATTTGCTTAAGAAAACCAATGAGGCTCTTATATAATTATCTTTATAATGTACTAAAATGACATTGCATTTAATAAACTACATTAAAAACACAGGAATAACTCAATTCTTATTTTTCATAAAACACTTCCCAGAAAACAGATGCTTCTAATTGTAGAGAAAAATGATGTTATAGTAGATGGAGATAAAAACCTGACTATTAAAGAGTTAACTGATCCAGTCAAGATTGGGAGGTGAGAACATAACCAATTCAATTATTTTATACATCACACTGCTATTTCTTTCTAAAGAACAACTTTACTTCTTTTAGGTAATGTTGCCTAAGTGAATGTGAGAATATGAGTGATATGGGAGATGTATGCTGCGCAATCAAATATAAAAAAGTTAGATGAAGAGAACCTATTAAAATTTTTTTTAAATAAAGGAAACAAGTATGATCTGTTACAAAAATAAAAAATTAGTCATGAACTTTTACACAGGATCAAAAAATACCAGAAAATGAACAGCTCTGTGATAATACATGTTATTTGGTACCACAAATACATATAAATATGTATTATCTGATGTAATACTGTACCACATAAAATTTAAGGGATAGCAAGCAATTTCCTTCAAGAGTCCTTTGTAAACACTGAATATTACATTACGCCCTGAAAAGAATGACCAGACCTAAAGAATTCAGTCATAGGGCCTAAAATCACTTAGTTCAAATTGTACTGCCTAGTTTCTATTTGTTCCATTTTCCTGTGATATCTTTTTCTGAAGATGACTCCCTGTATACAAAAGGACAGAAAAATGCATAATAAATGTAGGCACAAATAAAAAGTCCATGTGAGCAAGGGGATTTATTGTATTTTTGGAGATAATCTTAAAGGCTAAAATACAAAAACGCCAATAGTATATTATTTGTATAAGAGACCAGTTAAGGAGGATTAGACAGGCCTTCCAACACTCATCATTCGAAGGTGTGGCTCATGTTTACACCACATCTTTTGTTGTGTCTTCTGCCCCCATGTGTTGGTTCACCTCACCTTTCTATAACAACTCCAGATTCCATTAATCTTCAGGGCAATAGAGAACTTACGACACTGCCACATATGCAGGTTAGGGTGCTAAAATGAGGAGACTTCAACATACTATCCTCATTTTAACAGTAACACTATTTCACAAGCAATTCTCCACTAAAATAAATGCTCCTTAAGGAGCTCTTTCATCTTTCTATACCGGCAATTAATAGAAAGCCTGTAACACCATTTATAGTTATAGAATGAAAATAGAAATCCACAGAATTCTAGGTACTAATGAACGAGATAAACCAAGTGAGATAAGGCATTGTGCAACTGTTTAAGTCAGAACTGATAAAGCTATAAATCTTAAGGTTCCAATTAGCAGAGTGTTTAAAATCTCAATGGGATACCCTAAGGGAATTAAAATCTTTGGATGGAGTAAATTTAAGGAGTAGTTCTGGGGACAGTGGTTCAACTGCTAACACACTTACAAAGGAATGTTTTGAAATAAACAATAACAATTCAAGAAAAGAAAATTTAAAAATAATGTATTTTATGCATACTTTTGGGGGTATATATCTTGTAAAATATTTACTGCATTAATGAAAGTGTTTATTTTATTATTGAGGTATAAGTAACATATTAGTTTCAGGTGTATGATGTAATGATTTGACATTTGTATATTTTGCAAAATGACTGCCACAATAAATCTAGTTAATATCCATTGTTACATAGTTACAAAAATTTTTTCCTTGTAATGAGAACTTTGAAGACCCAGTCTCCTAGCTACTTTAAAAAAATGCAGTACTGTATTATTAACTATAGCCGCCATACTGTAAATTATATCCCCAGAACTGACTCATTTTATAACTGGAAATTGGCACCTTCTGACCCCCTTCACCTATTTGTCCACCCCCTACCTCAGGCTCAGTTTAAAAAAAAAATATTTTGTCTTTTTTTAGGTTCCACATGTAAGTGAGATCATACTGTATTTAGTACTATTAGTGAAAGTGCTCTTGCCTATCTTGATAGTAGCATGAGTCATTATGCATCACTTAAGAATCTAGGTTAATCTGTGGCTTTGTTTTCTTTCAAGATATTTTAAAACATACTTTGTCATGCAGATAGTAAGATGTTGAATAAGGACCAGTTTTAAAATTCCTAACTCTAAGAGCTTAGAGTTAGAAAGATGTAAAACAGAATTATTATTCATTACCTACCAGCATTGTAATACCAGAAAAATTGACTTCACAGAAGTTAGTTTCTCCTATAACATGAGGTCAGTAAACCCATGCCTCAGGGTTTTCTAGAGATTTAAATGATCTAGTTTTATTGGGAAATAGTAAGCAAATAGTGTCACTTTCCTTCATGGGGAAATCTGTATTTCTCCTTTTGGAATCATTTAAAAAATAGTACCCTTAAATATTTTGCCTTGTATCTTTTCCAAATAGAGACAGCATGGACAGAAATACATGAACAAATACTTTCACCTTAGCCTTCCTTTCCCTGTCAGCTGGAGTATCTGTCCAGACTGATCGATCTCCAGATTTGTCATTGGTTCTTCTCTTAAAAGTTCTGGGCCCAAGACCAAAGTCTTTAAATTCCGGAGGAAGCTCAGTCATCCACAATTCCCTTGTAACTGGTTTAGCTGAAACCTTTAAGAGAAACAAAAAGTTAAAAACAACAACAAATCAAACCCCAGTAGCCTGGAAAGAGTATATGTGTGTGCATGTAAAATGTTGTAGAAGTGACTATGTTTTTCAATTGAGGCTTTAAAGTTAAATAGTAGACTTTAAGACAAAGGATTTAATAGAAAGAATTAATGTTTTCATCACATACATTACAAATATTTTCATCTAATTTATTGTTCTTTTAACTTCATTATAGTTGCCATATAAAAATGTTTAAATAGACAAATTTGCCAGTCTTTTCCTTTTATAGCTTCTGGGTTACCTAGCCACTACATTTTCTTCCATATATACATACATAAATACATACCCAGGGTGAGGCAAAAGCATGTTTATAGTTGTTTGTATGGGAAAAGAAATACAATAATTAATAAATAATGATATAAGAATAAACCACGTTTCACACTGCTCCACCCCGTGTATGTATTATTTAATGTATATTTTTAAAATTTAAAAATTTAATTTAGTTAATTTCTCAGAGTAGCATATGTTAAAAACTTACATCATCTCCTTTGGTCAGTTTTTCTTTCATTCTCTGGGCCCTTTTTTCAAACTCTGTTGTTACACTATAGTTAACTGGCCCCTTTGCAGGCATTGGTCCAACAATATCTTCATCTTCACTGCTGTCTATTTCCTTTTAAAATAAGATATTACCTTTTAACCAAGAGCAGAGCTACAGATTATAGAAAATGACTAAATTATTTAAAGTTTAGTCACTGAATCTGATTACCAAGAGAAAATATAACAAAAATCAATTTGTTGCTGGCTAAGCACTGAGCAACGAGGGCACTTTCTGTGCCTTCCTGAAGTGTACAGTACAGGGAAGACAAATCCACAGTATATGTATTGTCCCAACTCTCCTCCCACGGAGGTCCACAGCAGACCTCATTAAATTAAATTATTTCAGCTTTTTTCCTGATGGACAACAATATGGTCTCATAATTCTTCTCAAAATGATATTCTAGGTAACTATTATTGACAGGTTGGAGATGAAACCATTTGCATTCCTGGTACAGAAAAAGCTCTTTGGGATAAAAGGCACACAACTGAGACACTACTGGAAGCTGTATCAGCCTTCATAATGCAGTACCCCCAACAGAAATACAGATGCTGTGTATTTCACAAATGTTAACCTGAATGAGTTAATTTGGTTCCCAAAGTATACTACTTACCCCAATACTGTATCATAGCTACAGTATTGTAGTTACTTATTTTCTTAATTTTTAGCACATCATTTTAATAAAGGGTTTTCATGTAAGACTCTGGGTTAGATGCTATATACAGTAGGGTTTCAAGCAGTCCTTTTCCTAACACATACATTGTATTCAGATGAATAAAATATGTTTGTCCTCCAGCTTTGAAAGGCAGCGGCTTCTTATTTTTTTTCAAACTACCATGATTAGGAGTTCGTTTGTACTGTTTATATTTTCCTACTAATCACTTGAAGGTAACTTTCTAGTTGTAGTTTCTTCTGTGAACAATTATAGCGATTGCCACATGTAGAAGTGACTAGATAATTACATACTGTCCAGAGCCTTACTCTAAATCACATGCTGTTAACTTCCAGCCAGGATGAAGGCATACATAGATACTCTGCCTCCTCACACAACCAAAAAAAGGACAACAAATTTAAAAACAAAAATAACCAGAACTGCCAGAAGAGAGAACTGTATGGAAGTCTGACAACCAAGGAGTTAAAAAAGAAACATTCCTCTAGGCTGCTAGAAAGGGTAGAGACAGGTAGCTAGGGTGAAGACTTGCAGCAAGGTGGCAGCTGGTGGACCCGCAGATAAACTTGGGAGGAATAACTGGGGATCCAGACAGACCACACAAACCAGGGTTCCAGTGCTGGCAAATAAAGCCTCAAAACCTCTGACTAAAAAAACCTGTGGGGGTTGAGACTGCAGAAACTCCCAGCCTCACAGGAGAGTTGTTGGAGAGACCGAAAGGGTCCTAAAAAGGTATAAAAAAACCACCCACGTGGGAATCAGAACCAGAAGGACCCAATTTGCCTGTGGGTAGTGGAGGAAGTGACTGAAAGCTTCAGAGAACTGAGCAGGTGGCATTGTTCCCTTTCAGACCCCTCCCCCACCTACAGCATCACAACACATGATGTGAATTGCCTCGCCCTGTCAAATATGTAAGGCTCTGTCCCTTACTACCGAGCAGGCAAACTGAGAGCATGCTGCCCAAGGCCAGATGGGGTCAGCATCTGACATCACCAGAGGCAGATCCAGAAAGAAAAAAAACAGTGGTAAATACTAAAGGCTATCAAGACGAAATCCACTGTGATCTTTTCCATTATTACTGATGTTTTCTTTCCTGCATAGCTTTTTAACATTCATTTCTTGTAGAGCAAGTCTGTGCATATTAAGTCACTATGATTTATACTATAGTCTTTCTCCATGGTAGTAATAATCTTAATCTCCTTATACCCTCATTAATACTGGTTCATTTGCTTTTGAAAATGAGATTGCCAGGACAAGATGTTTTTGAATATTTGGGTTTGTTACCTGGGCTCTGTGGTATTCTTCTGGCAGCACCTGCACGACAGCATACAAGATACAGTGGGTGGAGTGACCCTCAGTCAAGCAGCTGGAGGGAACGGCCCACCAAAGAAAGACCCAATGACAAATCAAAACACAAATACATCCAGAGAGCCAAGATAAATGGCATCCCTAGAGCTTCAAATTCAGGAGATTAAGGAGACTGCACTGCTGAATCTCACAGGTCTCCTACCATAGAAGTTCACACCACAAACTCAGGGAGCCAGAACAGATCAATTTAAGAAGCAGAGGCAAACAAGAAGAGTCTCACAAACAATGGGAAGACAAAGAAACCCCAAACAAAAGGAAAGGAGGAAGCACTCTTTCTGAGTGCTAAATGAAATACAGGCAAGTCAGCTATCAGATAGAGTTCAAAGTAATGGTTATAATGAACTCACTGAGCTCACTGAGAATTACCAAAAACTATAGGGAAACTATGATGAACTTACTAAAAACTATATTAGCATGAAAAAGGAAATAGAAACTATTAACAAGAACCAAGAGGAAATTAAGAATACAATTTCTGAAGTGAAGAACACAGTAGAAGGAATCAAAGCAAGCTAGATGAAGCAGAAGATTGAATCAGCAAGCTGGAGGACAAGATAGAAAAAAACACAGAGAAAGAGCAAGAAAAGAAAAAGTGGCTCAGAAAAAATGAAGAGGGGTTAAGGGAACTGTATGACAACATGAAATGTATAATAACATCCATATAATAGGGATACCAGAAGAAGACAAAGACTAGCAAGGGACAGAAAAACTGTTTGAAAAGTCATGATAGAAAACTTCCCTAAATTTAATGAGAGGAAAAGTCACACAAATTCAGGAAGCACAGAAGGTCCCAATGAAGAGGAACCCAGAGGCCCTCTCCAAGACACATCATCATTAAAGTGGGAAAATTCCAAGACAAAGAATCTTAAAGGCAGCAAGAGAGAAACATGTAGTAACATACAAAGGAGTCCCCATAAGGTTAGCAGCTGACTTCTCAATGGAAACGTTATGGGCCAGAAGGGAATGGCAAGAAATATTCCAAGTAATGAAAATCAAAGGCCTGCAACCAAGACTAGTCTATCCAGCTAGGCTCCCAATTAAAATGGAAGGTGAAATAAGGAATTTCCTGGACAAAAGAAGTCTCAAAGAATATACCTCCCCCAAACCAGCTCTACAAGAGATGCTGAAGGGACTGCTTTAAGAAAAGGAAGAGAAGGAGTGAGAGAGGAACACCAGTACAAAGGAAGTAAAATGGCAATTAATAAGTATCTACCAATAATAACCTTAAATGTAAATAGATTAAATGCTCCAATCAAAAGACATAGAACAGCTGAACAGTTAAGAAATCATGACCCATACATATGCTGCCTACAAGACACCTACCTTAGAACAAAAAGCTTACACAATTGAAAGTGAAGAGCTGGAAAAAATATTCTAAGCAAATGGACAGGAAAAAAAAAAAAGCCAAGGTAGCAATATTGATATCAGAAAAAAGACTTCTAAACAAAGGCCATGAAAAGAGATCCAGAAGGACAATTCATAATACTCAAGGGAAGAATCCATCCAGAAGAAATAAACATGTTAAACACATATGTACCCAACACTGCAGCACCGAAGTATGTAAAGAAAATCTTGGAGGACTTCAAGAAAGACATTGACAGCAACACAATTATAGTAGGGGATTTTAACACCCCACTGTCAAAAATGGATACATCTGCCATGGCTGGTGTGGCTCAGTAATTGAGTGATGGCCTGTGAAACAAGGGGTTGCTGCTTTGATTCCTAGTCAGAGCACATGCCTGGTTTGTGGGTCAGGTACCCGGAGGGGGTTGTGTGAGTAGCAACCACACAGTGACATTTCTCTCCCTTCTTCTTAAAATAAATAAATAAATAAAATCCTTAAAAAATGGATAGATTTTCCAAACAAAATATCAACAAAGATAATGTGGCACTGAAAAATGTCCTAGATCAAAGGGACTTAAATGGTATATATAGAACCTTTCATCACAAAGAAGCAAAAATACACATTCTTTTTAGATGTACATGGAACATTTTCAAAGATAGACCACATGATAAGAAACAAAACAAGTCTCAACAAATTCAGTAAAACTGAAATCATATCAAGCATCTTCTCTGACCACAAGGGCCTGAAACTAGAAACCAACCTCAAGGAAAAAGCTCAAAAACACTCAAATTCATGGACATCAAATAGCATGTTATTAAACAATGAATGGGTTAAAAATGAGATCAAGGAATAAACCAAAAACTTTTTGGAAATAAGTGAAAATGAACTCACAACGATCCAAAACTTATGGGACATAGTGAAGGAAGTCTGAGAGGGAAGTTCATAGCTATACAGGCCTACATAAAAAAGATAGAAACATTTCAAATAAACAACCTAACCCTATGCCTACAAGAACTGGAGGAACAACAAAGACAGCCCAGAGCAACTAGAAGGTAGGAAATAACCAAGATCAGAGCAGAATTACATGACACAGAGACTAAAACAAAAATCCAAAGGATCAGAAAATCCTTTGGATTTTCTTTGAACCAGTACTGGTTCTTTGAAAAGATAATCAACGAGCCTTTAAGTAGACTCATCAAGAAAAAAAAGAGAGAGGACCCAGATAAACACAATCAGAAATGAAAATGGAGAGATTACAACTGATACTACAGAACTAAAAAGACTTGTAAGAAATTACTATAAAGAGCTATGTGGCAAGAAATTTGAAAACCTAGGTGAAATCCAAAACTGAATGAAGAAGCAGCAGAATGCCTGAAAAGACCAATAATAGCTGATGAAATTGAAGCAGTTAATCAAAAAACTCCCATCACAAAAAAGCCCCGTAGAGGATGGTTTCAGAGGAGAATTTTACAAAACATTTAAGGAACAGCTACCCCCTATCTTTAACAGACTATTCCAAAAAATCCAAGAAGAGGAAATGACTCCCAAACACTTTACATGAAGACACCACCATCCTAATCCCAGAACCAGATAAAGACACAACAAAGGAAGAAAACAACAGGCCAGTATTGATAATGAACAGATGCTAAAATCTTCAACAATATTGGCAAATCGCATCCAGCAATACATTAAAAA